CCCATTTTACAGAGATCAAGCAGAGGTTCCCAATAGTCCAGGATGTTTCCCAAATTCCCAAGGTTGCTCAGTGGCCACTATGGAACCTCAATCAGCCTTTTGGACCCCAGTGCCCTTGTTTGTGCCGTTTCTGTCAACACAAAACCCTAGACTCCACAAGAGTCAACCATCTTGATTGGAAACAGAACAGAATACTTAGGGGGAGGGTACAATTTCTTCATGGGGTATCACAGATGACAAAAAAAAAAAAAACCCTCATGCAGAATTTTAATTCATACCAACCAAAGTAATGACATGCTAAAGAAGCTGGGAATGAAACATTTGTGAAGAGAGACAGCCATCTCCAAGCTCCCTGGCTTGGAAGCTCAAAGCGGGTCACATGACCTGCTAGTCTCAGCAGAGGTGACATTCTTGGTGTGGCAGAGGAGGAAGTGGAGTAAGAAAGGGAAATCTGGGTGTCCCTGTTCATACAGAGGGCAAGCTGGCTCCAGGCTAGGCTTAAAACAAGACCCTCCCACTTCTGAGTTCACCTGTAGTTGGTACTAATGCAATCTGAGGTTGCATCATGCATTGAATGAATCCGATTCTGGAATGATAAAAAAAAAAAACAAACACCCCATAAATTATGCCAGCAAAGATATTAGAGTGGAAAAGGGGCTTAGAGGTCACCTGGTCTGGTGTGTACCCAGGAGTCACCCAAGGAGCTGTGAAAGGCCAGGGCCAGCCTCCCTTTAGGGTAGCTGGTCTGCGGTGCAGCTGAGCATCACTGTGTTTTCAAAGCGCCTCACTAGGTGCTTGTGGGGTAAGGCCACAGGACTGGCCCAACCTCCATTTTAGAGATGAGGAGCCCAACTGCGGGACTCTGGAAGGATTTTTCTCTATCTGGAAACATGCAGGGAGCAGACCAGAGACCAAGGCAGGCATGGCAGGAGGACCAGGGGCTGCTTGCTCACATCCGGACAGATCAGCAGGCACAGTGGAATGGACACTGGGCTCCAGAAGGGGCTTGCCTTCCCCTTTAATCAGACTCAGACCCACACTGTGAGACGATGCCACCCACATTCAGGTAAAGCCCTCCTCTGTTAGTCCTCTCTAGAAACACCCCCTCAAAAAGACCCAAAGGTGGGCTGCACTAATGCCATAGGCATTTCCTAACTCCACCACGCTGACCATGGACATAAACCATCACAGTAGTTCAAGGTACAAAATCCTGTTTGTGGCCCCAGACAGACCTGGGATTCACCCAGCCTTGACTTAACTAGCTGTGTGTTCTTTGACACGTTAATGAACGTCTGTGAGATCTGTGCCTTTTCTTTCCTACGTGAGGATCATAAGAGCATCAACTGCACAGCGTTAGTGCTGCTTTGTGGGCACTCGACAATCGGAACCTATTTTGACCAAGTCATCCAAATCACTCCACCAGCTTCCTTCCAGCTGGGACCAGGATCATGTGAGAAAATGAGTATTCAGAGAAGGCAAAGCCCTGCTCAAGGTCACACAGCCTAATAGGGGCAGGTCTAGAACTGGATGACAGACCTAAGAGCCTCATTTAGCCCGTGGGTTTTCCATAGAAGCTATTTGCCAGGACACCCATATCCGCAGCATCTCTCTCGGGCCTGGCTGGCTCATCATATTGCTTTTAATGAGCCCGGAAAATCAACTCCTTGTTAGAACTCCTGTGGGGAGTACATGGAAGGGAGGAAGCCACTGGTCCCCGCAGCCTCCATAGTCAGCTGAGCCCCTGGAAGGAGACTAATGAAAACCATGAATCCTGGGCTGCATCAGGCATCAACAGCTGTGGGGGGGGTGGGGAGGGAGGTGAGATGGGTAGAGAGGGAGAGGGAGAGAGAGAAGAGCTGATTTGCAAATGAGCACAAACCGCTTAGCTGTGGATTTAGTGTCCGAGGAGGGACCATCCGTCACATTTATGGGAGAGATAATTGCTTAGGATCGCCCAGAGCAGCAGACAGAGACTCTGCGGGAAACAGGTTTGGACAGGCCATAGGGGGATGCCTCGAATCAGCAAGAAACTCCAGACAAAGGCCACTGGCAGGTGGAAGGAGCTGCCCTAGCCCCCAGGAGTCTTTCTTCCCACAGTGTTTGCTCACACTGGGGTCACAGCTCCTTATAGGACCTAGTTGGAGGGGGCCTAGAGGAAATCAATCCACCAAACAGCACAGAGGTAGCCCATGGAGTGTCAAGAGAAGACTTCCAGAAGCAGAAAAGTAGGCATGACCATATTTAGCCTCAAATGCTGTGTGGTCCAGTCCATACTCCGTATCCTCTCTAGGCCTCACCTCTTTCTGAATTCTAATTAATTTGACAGTTTCACACATGTATGAAATTATGTAACATTCTGACTGCTCTCATACAACCAACTTGCTTATTGCCTTCCCACCGTTGGCAATCCCCACTCCTTACTCTATAGAATCCTTTTCCATGTTCATGTCTTTTTGCTTTGCTTTATGACCCCATTGGGTTTAACCAGAACTCTGTATGTGGCCATGAGCATGGAAATGTCCGATGGAGCCTGGTGGGTTCACCAGTGAATACACATAAATAAACAAACAAACAAAAAACAGCTCCTCCTCCTGCAGAATCCATCAGTGCAGAAGGGAGGGGTGGGGTCCCATGAGCCCTTCCTCCATCCATGACTGGCTGAGGATGGGCCCAGTCTTTTGCAGGTCTGAGAGTTCATGACTGCATGGGCTGTGTCATGCCCAGAATACGTGCAGAACGGAAGAGAGCAAGTAATAGATCTTGGAAGTAGAGAGAAAGAATGCTGGAGGTAGAAATTTTAAGCACATATAGGGTGAGGGGTTAGGGGAGACAAGGGGACTCAGGATAGGAAATGGCTAACCAGCTAAGTCTTTCCTACAGGGTAAACCAAGCTCCAACTTTCTGAGACTCATGAAAAACAGAGAGCAAGGCTCACCCAGGTAGGGCCAGGCAGGGAGTTAGAAGTTCCAGGTAGGTCAAGCAGTCGCTTGCATTCTGCCCAAGGCTTCCTTCCAGATAATGACAACTTGGAAAATGGTCCCCATGGTCCCCACCTAGCTCCCAAAGTGAGGGAGGGCAAGCCAATCATGGCCCTAGGGGATGTTCCTTTAGTAGCAGGGATTTTGGGGGGGACCAGGTAGATTGGGCTTGAGATGCCAGCCTGGGGCACTAAGATCCTATCCCACTGGGATCTGGAGAGCATTGAGATTTGTGAGCACAGGGAAAAGATCCAGCCAGTTTAAGGGTGACTGTGGGGAGGAGCCGCAGGGAGGGAGAGTCACGGATTGGTGCAGCCTCAAGGCAAGAGCTGAGGCAGCAGCCTCTGGGAACCCCTCTATCTGGCCTCTGCATTCTCATTAAATTTGAAAACTGGAGCCCGCCTCAGGCTCTTTTCTCCACCAAACACATTTTAAAATACTTCAGTGTAGATATATTGTGGACATGCACATTGAGCCAGGGAGGGTGATGATGTTTGGCAGTCCGAAATCCCTGCTCCTTGTTAATCAGAGTCAAGAAATCATGCTTCAAAAATTGGCTTTTTCCATGCATCTTTACTTGCAAGTGTTCGTTGCAATGAGTCATTGGTCTGGTTTGAAGCCTCTGGCTTCTGCTACACTATCAATACTGGACCCTCCCTGGGACTCCTCTTGGATATGCTGTTGTTGCCCTGTGTCATAGGAACCCTGCAACTTTGGCCCCTTCACATGCTCCAGCAGTTCATAGATGGGGTGGATGTTGGAGTTGCAATGAACACTTGCAAGTAAAAGTGTATGGGCTAAAGGGTACACTGTGTGACTCACTGTGACACACTACAGCTTCCACAAGAATTTTCTTTTAAATTTTTTTTTTTTTTTTTTTTTTTTTGGGCGGGGAGGTTGCAAGGACAGAGGGCTGATATGAAGGGATGGGAAGATGAATGGGATAGAGGTGTATGCTGTGAAATCAACAAAGAAGCAATGAAAAGGTTTTTTTCTTAATGACAGCTAAGAGTTCTTTGGGATGCCTCCATGGGTAAAGGCACCTTCAGATCTGAGTTCCACCCTGGGGAATATGCATGGAGGAAAGAATCAACCCTGAAGAATTGATCCCCACTTACATTCCATGGTGCACATGCCTACACACACACACACACACACACAGGCTGCTCCACTAGCAATGCCAACCGCTCAGCCCATCCTGAGAGCCGCACTGGGACTCCCTCTGAAGCCCCATCCACAGTGGCAGGGTCCCAGCCATGCAAGTGAAGGAGCTGCGTGACCACCTCTAAGGCTTGACGACCTTCAGTATTCCTTCACTTAGCATCTCTGCTGGCCTCATAGCTGCCTGAAACTCAGCGCTCTTCCCTGGAACCTGATGGGCAGAGCTGTGGTCCACAGTGTCATCACGGCCCAGCTTCCTCCCCTGTCCCAGATGGCTCCACTCTAAGCCCTTGCCTGGCTCTGCATCCAGCTGAGGATTGCTCAGAAATCATGGTGGCAGTGGTGACAGCTCTTGGGTCAGGTCCTGTGGCCACACTTGGGTGATCTGACAGAGGAGTGCAGTGCAGAGGGATGCTGTGATCCTTTATGTGTGGAGGCCCAGCATACACCTGGCTCTTTGCCCCACAGATGGAGAGGCAAGGTGAGGCATGAAGAAAGAGCTACACTGGTCTCTTCCCCATTCCCATCATGCAGTTTCTTTTTATCTAATCTTGGACCCTAGTCCATGGTCTACGGGATAGTACCACCCACATTCAGGGTGGGTCTTCCCTTCTCTGTTAAAGCTTAATGAAAATACCCTCAAAGACATTCCCAGAGGTGTGTCTCCCAGGTGATTCCAAATCCAATCCTGCTAACAAAGAAGACTGTCCATCACACCGCATGATAATGTCCCATCTGCCTTGTCACTAAGAAGCTCTAGGAGATGACATACTCCTGACATCTGGGATATATCAGAAAGTCCCCAGACCCATCTTTCCATTCTCCAGGGCTTAAGACCATACCCAAAGTACCAAAACTCACAAAATAGCCGAGGACACTTGAAACTTCTCAACTTCTAGTGGCACCTGGGGTTATAGGTGGAACAGGAGAAGGGACCTGTGGAAAGAGGAACGCTAAGGTTTGAATGTGCCCTCCATGGGTGAAACATCAGGCACTTACTCAACAACACAACAACAGTACTAGAAGGTGGAATCTTTAACATGTGGGGGTTTTTTTGGGGGGGTCATGAATGAAGAAATTGTGTTCTCCAGGGAGTAAGGACATCTTCCTCATACAAAGATGGCCTCAGCCCTCTCTGCCCACCTTGTGTGAGGTCTTTTGCATTTTGGCCTTCTTCCATATGGTAGAGAAGCTCAAAGCCCTTCCAGATGCAGCCCCTCTACATGAACCTCCCAGCCTTTAGAACTACAAAAATATAAATATATTCCTCTTCATGAATTAGCCAGCATCGGGAATTGTGTTGTCGTACCATAAAACAGACGAGGGAGTCGGACAGAAGTTAGGTGGGAAGGAATGAGATAAGTAGCAGAGGCGATGCCTCACGCTAACCCAGGCAGTATCTTGCCAGCAGCCATCCCAACGGTCTGAGCCTCTGAATGGAAACGGGACACCAGGCTCACAGACTAGGATTGGGGATGGGGGATTTGTAGTTGATTCTTTTTAACTCTTTTGGGGGTCCACCACCCAACTCCCAAATAAATATATGGAATCTTATTCTTACTTATGAATGCCCGGCCTTAGCTTGGGTTATTTTTAGCCAGCTTTTCTTAACTTAAATTATCCCATCTACCTTTTTTTGCCTCTGGGCTTTTACCTTTCTCTATTCTATATACCTTTCTTTTCTTCTTACTCTGTGGCTGGCTGTGTGGCTGGGTGGCTGTGTGGCTGGGTGGCTGGCCCCTGGTGTCCTCCTCTCCTTCTCCTTTTCTTGCGCCTCCCTCTTCTCTTAAGCCCAGCTTTCTCCTCCTATTATTCTCTGCCTGGCAGCCCCGCCTATCCCTCTCCTGTCTCGCTATTGGCCATTCAGCTCTTTATTAGACTAATCAGGTGTTTTAGATAGGCAAAGTAACACAGCTTTACAGAGTTAAACAAATGCAACATAAAAGAATACAACACATCTTTGCATCATTAAATGAATATTCCACAGCACAAACAAATGTAACACATCTGAAACTAATATTCCACAACAATCTACAGTCTGGTTTTCTTCTATCTCCACCCTCAGAGACTCTAAAGTCCCTGAACATCCTCAGCCCCCACCCTGCTCTGTTCACTCAGGGAAACCGTGAACAAGTTGGTCAGCCACTACAGATGTACATTAAGCTGCAAACCCAGCTCCAGTCAACCCAGACAATAGCCTCATCTTCAGATTATATGTCTATGAGCCATCATCAGTGGCTAATACAACAACAAGATAATGTCAGTTGGCCTCTCCCCTCCCAGTCTTAGCTTCAGAACCTTAGAGAAAGCACAAGGAGCCAGCTTCATGGTTCTGTGAGATGTGCCTGAATCACACAGAGGTTCCCACAGAGTCAGAGGTAGGATCTGGTACTGGGGTTGTTGCAGTGTCCGGGACAAGGTTCCTGGGACCAGAGTTGCTGCTCAAAGGTAGAGGGGCTGGGTCTAGACAGTTAGAACCTTGGTTCTGAATCTACTTGGAAGGTCATTATGAATCCTCCTCTTTTGGTACTAAAGCTTCAGGCAATAACAATGTCTTAGGCAGTTGGGGTTCATTATGGTTTATGTATGAACTGTCCACCATGCATAGAAGGGGTAGCAGCTATTTAGGGAGGTTCTAAAAGACCTAGGAGGCCTGCACATGTTGGAGAAAGCAGGTCACTAGAGGTACTTCCTTTAGGACTGTATCTTGTACCAGCTCTCTCCACCCTTCTCTTTGCTTTCTATGTGTCATGAGATGAGGTAAGACACCTCTGCCACATGCTCCCATTCCTATAATGTTCTGCCTCACCATGGGCCCGTAAGCAACAAAGCCAAGGATTATGGACAGAAACCCTAGAGCCAAAGAAATAATCCCTTCCTTGACGTGTCCTCTCGGGTGCTTTGGTCACAGTGATAAGAGCTGACAAATGCGGGGTTAGTGTAACAGAATGACAAGAACTGGGTGACTTGACTGACGTCCTCATCTTTATCGGCTACATTTCTCCTCACAGTGAATTGGAGCTAAGGCAAATTAAAGGAGGATTGATTTTGGCTTGGCCTTTGATATGGCGAGGAAAGCCTGGTAGCTGGGGCTTGCAGCATAGCCTGCTTGCCTAGCCGGAAATACACCGAGCCTCTAACCCCTAAATCCCATCGCCCCCAGCTAACCTCCTGAAGGTTGCACAACCAAATCCCAAATTCTCCTCCAATGCAACCCATTCACATACTCCTAAAAATTCCACAACCTCCCAAAACACCACCTCTAACCAGGGACAGAGTGTTCAAACACATGAGCCTGGGTGTTGGGGAATATTATTTTAAGGTGTGTTACTTTTGTTTAAATTGCATTTGTTTAACTCTGTGAAGCTGTGTTAATGTGCCCATCTAAAATACACAATGATCTAATAAAGAGCTGAACAGTTGATGGTAAGGCAGGGAAAAGGATAGGCGGGGCTGGCAGGCAGAGAGATACATAGAAGGAGAAATCTGGGAGGAGAGATCAAGCAGTCAGAGAAGGAGGAGGACTCCAGGGGTCGGCCAGCCAGTGACACAGCAAGCCACAGAGTAAGAGTAAGATTTACAGAAGTAAGAGAACAGGAAAAGCCCAAAGGCAAAAGGTAGTTGGGATAATTTAAGGAAAGCTTGCTAGAAACAAGCCAAGTGGAGGCCAATCATTTATAATTAAGAATAAGCCTCTGTGTGTGATTTATTTGGGAGCTGGGTGGTGGGCCCCCCAAAAGAGTCAAAGAACAAAAACAAAAACAACACCTGGGCAGGGGCATTTCACGCCCAAACCATATTGTCTCATGGTCTTGGAGTCTAGGAAGTTCACAATGAAGTTTGGGGCTGAACTGATTTCTGGTGAGGGCCACTTCCATGTATACAAATGCTACCTTTTGATTTAATCTTCATGTGGTGGTCAGAGTGGTCATCTCTTCTGTCTGTCCTTTTATAAGGGCACTAATTCCATCCATAAGGGTCCCACCATGACCCAATTACTGTTCCATGACCCCATGTCCAAATACCATCATACTAGGGGTTAAAAGTTTTTCTCATATGGGTATGGGTGGCTCAGGGTCACAACCACTTAGCCCTAGAGGGCAAGGGCAGATCTGTTAGAGACTTCTAGGAAAATGCAAGTTAATTGCTTACTGCTGGGGCTGGGAGACAGCGGCTAAGAGCACTGTCTGCTCTTCCTGAAGACCTGAGTTCAGTTCCCAGAACACATGTGGCAGCTCACAACCATCTGTAACTCCAGTCTCATGGGATCTGACTCCCTCTTAATGGTCTCCACAGGCACCTGTGGAAGGAAAACACCCATACCCATAAAACAACAAATTAAAACTTCAAAATACGAAATAACAAATCAATCTCTTGCTGCGTGGAGGAAAGGGTGAAAAGGCCGACAACGTTGGGGAACTGTGTGGTCAGGCAGAGGGAGAGGCAGTCTGGGCTCAATGCCGGGAAGTTTTGTTTGGAACGAAAACTGACCCTATTAACAAACACCTCAGGCTCTGTGCACTGCCTGAGGACCTTCCAGATCCAGGGTGATTAGGAGGAGGAAGGAGAAGCCAGAGGAACTTGGGAAAAAGAGAATCCTGTTATAAACCCAGGTCTCAGAGACAAGCAGGTTAGGACCTGCCCCCGGTGGAGAGAAGATGGGAAAGCTGCGCGCTTCCCTCCAGCCCAGAGCGTGAGGCCCAGTTTCCTTTCTTGCCCGTTGGGGTGACTGCTGTCAGCATTTGAATAGGGTGGTATTAAAGCCGAGCTGCAGTATTCCACAAAACTCTCTTTAGTGCTCAAAAATACATCAGGGCCTCGGGGCGGAACAGGTGAACCATCTACCAGGGAGACCCAAAGCTGCCCCCACAGTCACTTTTGAACCCATCCCTCCTGCTGGGGAGACCAGAGGTGAGATGGGTGCCAGTGTGAGATGAGGTGGACTCCCCAGCTGTGCCAGATGTCAGGTCCCAGGCTGACTTTCTCTTTTGTCCTATCTAAGCAGCATATTGCCTATGTCCCACAACAGGACTCAAGAGTGTTCAGTGAAACCTGTGTGGGGCTTATTGAGACAAGGATTCCAGATGCACGTGTGTGAAAGAAATTGTCCCCTACCCTCTGGGCCTAGCAAACTGGCCAGCTCATTGAGATGGACTCCTGCGCACTCTCCCATACGACAACCCAAATGCCACTGTTATGTTCCTGTGGCCGTGATAAAAATATCTTGACAAAAGCAACTTGAAGGAAAAGGGCTTATTGTGGCTAGGTTCAAGGGCAGAGTCTGTGATGGCGGGTGACAGAAGCTGGTCACATCACAGCACAGGGAGGAGCAGAATGGTGAATGCCGAACTCAATCACTTCCCCCCATTTCATATAGTCCAGGGTTCCCAGCCACAATTAGCAAGGGTCTTCCCACCTCAAGTCACCCAACCAGATAATCCCCACAGGCATGCCCAGCCACTCATCTCCCATGATTCCTAGTCCTGTCGAGCACCCGGCCATCACTTCTGGCAACAGGGTGGAGCCCTGGTTGGTGATTTTGGCTTTCTACTCTGACGCCTCCACCCAGCTGCAGACTAGCAGGGAAGCAAAGCTAGCTTCCGGCAGAACAGAATGGGGAAACAGAACATGGGTGACCAGACTGCCACAGCGTCAAAGCCAAAGTTGCTCTCTGCCCTGGTTTAAATACACTTTGTCCCCTTTGAAACTCATGTAATTAAATCCCACTGTGAGGCATCAATAGGATAGAAACACACACACACACGCACGCACGCACGCACGCACGCACGCACGTGCGCGCATGCGCACACGCTAGTTTCCTTTTCACCATTGTGTGCTCTGAGAGATCTCAGGACTCTACCAACAAGAAGATTAGCACCTACCTTGGACCAGAACAGTGAGCTGAAGTAAACATCTTTGTGATGTTCCCAGTCTGTGATGTTGTGTTATAAGAAACAGAAACAGCCGGGCGGTGGTGGCGCACGCCTTTAATCCCAGCACTCGGGAGGCAGAGCCAGGCGGATCTCTGTGAGTTCGAGGCCAGCCCGGGCTACCAAGTGAGTCTCAGGAAAGGCGCAAAGCTACACAGAGAAACCCTGTCTCGAAAACCCAAAAAAAAAAGAAAAAAAAAAAAAGAAACAGAAACAAACCAAGAAACTGTCCCTCTATGGTGCAGTGGACTGTGAGAAAGGGAGATTGTCCAGACATTACCTTCCAAGTCCCCGGAGATCTCTGGAAGCCAACCATTTGAGGATTTGTATCAAAGAGCACTCCACTAATGGCATTACAAGGGAATCTTTGTGACGAGTTAAGGCCTGGCTTGGCTAATAGGCAGAGAAATGGAAAGAAGGAAAGTCTCAGAATTCAAGGGATGCCATATTGAAAGGTTTTCTGCATGGGGTTAAGTAACATGGACTATTTCTGGAGAGCACTGGGTAGACCTGGAAGCTGTGTGGGAGGCAGGTGGATTGGAGCCTGGGTGTGAGCCAGAAACGCATCTTACTTCCTACCAGGGACCTTGATGCTCAAGCAGCTTTCCTCATCAGGGCTCAGTACCCAGAGAAGGGCGAGAGGAGTTTGCTGAAATAATTAATGGCCAATACAGTATGGAACCCCAAAGGGGAAGGGTAGTAAATAGATGTTAAATGTGACATGACAGTTACAACCACCAATTAAAAACTCAATAACGAAGAACAAAAGATTATTCAGTTATTTCTCTTCAGTAGAGAAACCTCTTTTGAAGAAATTTGTGTCTGTGTTCAAACTGAACCCAGGTCTTGCACATGCTAGGCAGGCAAATCTCAAACTGAGACACATCCTCAGTCCTTAGTTGTTTTTCAGACTGACCTCGAATTCAGAGATCCTCCTGCCTCTGCCTCCCAAGTGCTAGGATTAAAGGTGTGTGCCCCAGCCACCACCACCCGCTGCCTCCCAAGTTCTAGAATAGCAAATATGAACCACCACACCAGGCATAAGAACTATTGTGATTTATCAGTTATGGTGGGTGACATAACTATAGTAAGATATAAAAGAAGATCATGAAATTGCCTTTTACAAAAAGCCAGGCTAGTGAACCCAGCAACCTTTGTCTTCCTGTGCCCTGCACGGAGGTCTGGTGATTGATTCACTGGGGAAGCATTACCTGAAAGAGGAGAGGACAAGCCACTTGGGTTGGGTACTTCCTGGGGACAGGGACATATAGAAACACTCCTGGGGAGAAGTACAGAGAAACAAAGCATCTCAAGTAGCTTGCTGTGATGTAATCCTCTGGGTCTTTCTCCCAACAAGGCCTGTGCTTCTCTGCTCACCAGCATTATGTGCAAAGGGACTGTTTTAAATTGCTCCCAAGTTGGTACAGGGTAAAAATAGAGGCTGTTCCCAGTGTCGGGAACAGAGGGTAAGGGATGGTATGTATCCAGTGGATGCATCCTAATATCCCTGGAAGCTGACCATCCCAAACACAGAGCTAGACAGAGAGGCATGTGACCAGTGGGACACAGCACACTGGGGAAAACTGGTAGAATCCAACAGCACAGAGCTCTGTGACCAGCTGAAGCCTTCAGCTGCTTGCATCCCTGATTGCTCCATTTGTGTGGCACTTTGATTCTCCTAACTCAGCAGGCCAGCAGCGGGCATGGGAAGGGCAGGAAGAACAAACAACAGAGACCAGAGGAAGTTTGTCATGGGGGAAAGCACACACACAGGATGGATTTTTCACTCTAAGCTCTGCTCCGGAAACCCAGCTGCTCACCCTGTATGTTAACTGTAGGCTCATTAAAAAAAATAATAATAATAGAAAACGCATCCATATCTTTAAAAGTGACTGAAATCATCTGAGAAAGACTTCCTTTGCCGGTCCCCTGCCCTCCCTACACCCCCAGGACTCTCCTGAGCTTGATACAACTAGCAATAGAAATGGAAGACTGTAATTAAAGTGAGGCCAACTGAGGCTGCTGTTCAAATTAAACTCCTTTAAAAAAAAAAAACATTTTCAATAAAGCGAGGCTAAACTCAGCATGCTTTAGTCATTACTGTAGCATTTCTCTTCCAGAAGGATTAACAAACACGAAGTACAGGGCTGAGAAATTGTGATCAAACAAAGTGTTTTAAAGGGCTTTATTCTCTCCCTCTTCCATTAACACTGCACTACTGTGATTCAGTTCAATGTGTAATACGGATATGCACACGCATGCTGTGTCACTCATACCTGGTGAGGACAATGGAGCCTTCTGTGGGACTGAACATCTCTTTTCGGGATCTGTCGGGGGAAAGCCTTACATATGAAAATGTAGGTGACAATGAATGGCTGTGTATAAAAGCAAGTGTTTGCTTGGTTCCATTGTGAGAGCAATGGTATTAAATTTGGGAACATGAGAATCGTGCATTGATGTGCTCAAGGAAGCTGAGCTGGGTTAGGGAGAGGCCATCTAGGAAACCAGGGAGGCCAGCCAGGCCCGATGTGTGGAGGAGGCTCTCCTGGAAGCAACTGCCAGAGCTCTAGAAGAAGCCCAACTCTGGCCATCACTGTCTGTGACCTGGGACTCTCTGTCCTAGCACAGGGCAGGTCAATCCAGAAAGGAAGGGTAGGAAAAGGAGGGAGAGAGCAGAGGTGGGAGGGAGAGAGATGGAGGGAGAGGAGAGGAGGGGAAGGCTGCAAATGAGTTTGGTCTCATTCAGGAGAGAGCAGCTCAAACCAGCTTAACTGAAAAGTTAAGCTGAAAGAGAGCATCTCTCTCTCTCTCTCTCTCTCTCTCTCTCTCACACACACACACACACACACACACACATATATATATATATATATATATATATATATATATATATATGACATGAGAATAGAAGGGAGAAGGCGGAGGGTATGAGGGGCCAAGAGAAAGGAGAGCTGAGCATCAAGGGAGGGAAATGGGGTACATATGAACAGAGTTAGCTCATACGCACAATGACACATACAACATATCAATATGTAGACAATGATACATACAACATATCACTATGTAGACAATGATACATACAACATATCAATATACAGACAATGATACATACAACATATCAATATGTAGATGACAATGATACGTGAAATTCAGAATGAAATGAAGAGGACCTTGCAGATGCCAAGACAGAGAAATGAGCCACGAAGAGGTGAGAATAAAAACATGGCTCAGATTGACTTCATCAACCTGGATCAAACTTGGGAAGTCTGATGCCAGGAGGTTCATTGTCAGCATACTTAAAACACAGTACAATTTGGGGAACAGCTTCCAGGCAACAATCATTCCCATTCCAGGTGCACAATAAAGCTTAAGGTGTAACTTTTTAGAAACACCTTTGGGAAGTACATGTGGCCATGAGGCTGGATTCTATAGTTAACGGCCTAGACTCTAGGGTGGTCTCTGACTGAAATAGCATAGAGGTCAGCAGGCCGTAAAGTATGTGTGACATCCCCGCTAAGGATGGGTCCTATTAACTGGGAGCTAAAGATAAAGGTCTAGGCAGGGAGAGTCTGGGATGGACATGCTGGGGGGTTTGAATGAGGTCTGCCTCTATAGCAAAAGGTGGGTGAAGTCTGCCTCCACGGATAGCAAAAAGGTCACCAGGTCATTAACAATATCCATTCCCAGCATTCTGGATGGGAAAACAGGTATTTTATCTCCTCCACTGGAGAGAGACCCCTGTGTGTTTAACATTCCTGGTTTCCCTAGTGATCTGTGGGCAAAAAGACTTTGTACCACCAGCATCAAAACCCATGGTTGTAATAATAATAATAATAATAATAATAATAATAATAATAATAAATTAATAAATAAAAGAGAAGCATCCACGGCAAAGGAAGAGGGGATGAACAGCCAAGGAAAACAGTATCAAAAGCCTAAGGAAATTTCTAGAACAAGAACTAGCCAATCTCCCAAAACCTGGTCCCTTCTCAGTCTCTTCCCGGTCTCCATCCTCACCACACACCCTCCCTACTTCACTCTGTTTCATTTTCCTCTCCACGGCCACTTTCTTCTCTCAATCCACATGGATATGTACAATGAGTCCACAGTCCACATACAGCTGCATTCAGAAAAACCCAGGCCACTTGGGAATCTCCAACCAGTTTCCCGAGAACAGAAATTGAGCCAGCTTGCATGCACACATCTGTGAGCTTGACCAGCATCTATCCAGGAGGGATTTCCAGTCTGAAACGGAAGTGGTAAAATATGAGATAAAGAAGAGCAGTCAGAGGGGAAGAGAAAGCCTAGGAGGAAGACTGAAGAAGAGTTTCTCTTCCTATTCTGAGGAAGTGTGATGCTCCCCCCATCTTCTGCATGAAAGGATAAAACAGGACTGGAAAATCTGGTCTCAGCAGACCTCCTCTGAGGTACCTGTGGCAACCTCTGGAATCCCCCTTCATGTTTCCCTAATTCGGTAGCTACCAGATAAGAGCAGCCCGTCAGATACTCAGTACTCACACAGACTCTGGGGCACATGAGCTGTGGATAAAGATGACTGTGTTTGCCATGAGTAACTTCCTGTCAGTCTCTGCAGACTCCACCTCCGTTAACATCTTCTCTCTGCTTTCCCAGAGAGTCACCTCACAGGAGACAAATAGGACAATGGAATCCACACTACCATTCCCTTCACTAATCTTTAAAATCCTGCCTTCCGTTTACTCCCAAACAATCCATAGTGCAAAGGATGTAAGATGGAGGAGCTAGGTTCCTACTGCCTTCCTCTTTTGGCTTCTGCAGTGAAGGCTGTCTACATAGAGCAGTCCTCTAGCTCAGGGGATCTTCCTAGAGTGTTTTCAGATGTGTTCACTTGCTCATTCTGCTGGACACACGACAAATTCTTCCAGATACCAGGCCAGGTACGAGGTACAAGCAGTACAACCTTAAACGCCCCAAATTCAAGAGTCCACTCTCAACAGACCCTCCGACTTGGAAGGAATACCCTGGAGAAATGCTGCCTGGTAAGCCTAGAGCTTGGAAAGAATGTACTGGGGGGGGGGGGGGGTGACGACTCCCTTGACTAGATGGAATTTAAACAGATTTGAAAGCACATGCATTAGGATTGATTAAACAATATGTATTTCCTCTAATTTCCGGAGGCTGGAACTCTCTGGTCAAGGTGTCATGAGGTTAAGGGCTCTCTCCTTGGCCTGTACATATTGTCTTCTTTGGGTCCTTGCCTGGTCCCCTTGGTATGTGGGTCTATGTTCTAATCTCCTTGTAAGGACACCAGTCAGGGTATGGTCCCAGCCCAATGACTTACTTTGTGCTTTATTTATAACTTGTTTATAGTAACTTAATCACATTCTTTGAGAGTCTATCTTCAAATGCAACTGCATCTAAGTTATGGGGGATTAGGACTTCAACATATGAAGTCTGGAAAGGTACACCATACAATTTGGCCCACAAACTTTTTAGGTGCTAATCTAACTTTGTTAGAAGGAAAGCTTTGGAAAGAAAACAAGGAATCAGAGAAAGGAGTCTCCAAAGCTGGGGAGCATAGGCACCCCCAAAGTACATCATTTTTGTATGGTTATGATAAAATATCTGACATATGCATCTTAAAGGGGGAAAGATGTATGTGGGCCCTTCTGAGCAGAGAAGGCATGAGAACAATTCACAGCTCGTTTAACCAGGAACCAGGAAACACCAAGAGAAGCTGTTGGTATTGGGTTTTCTACTGTCTCCCCTTTATTGTATC